AAGATATTAATACTAAAGATATTAATACTAAAGATATTAATACTAAAGATATTAATACTAAAGATATTAATACCAAAGATATTAAATCAGTAAGTACTATTCTGGTTGCTGTCTTAGTTGGTTATTAATTATCTAAAGTCATTACTCCCGAAGTACTAAGAAGTAATTTAATTACTTCTATTATACCTTATATATCTTATCATGTCCCTAAATCCATATATTCAACTACTATATAGTTAGTATATTTACTCTTACTAGTATTTTATTCTTTACTTCTATATTCTATACCTCTAACCAGACTATTCTATATTACTTTACTGTCTGGTGTCCTTTCTATATTTAGTGAATTCCTATCTTTAATATTTAGTTAATATTAAGAGCCTAAAGATTATTATTTACTATACTAGAAGATACTTACCCCTTCTAGTAATCCTCCAGAAATCTATTCTTTTAATTAGAAGACTAAATATCTATATCTCTTATCCTATCAAGCCTGCTTACCTGAGCCGCCTGTTAGGACATATAAATCCAGATATACTAATATATCTGATATTATAGCAGAGTTTAGTAGTATATCTTCTAGAGGTACTAACAACTATCTTAATACAGAATATATAGAATATACTATAACTAGTATTCTTAAACATCTTAAAGTAATAAATAATTATATAAATAAGTTTACTACTAATAAAAGACACAGCTGTTCTTAAAGATATAAATCCCAAAGATATTCATCTTATTTATCTAAAGACAACAACAGCTATAAAGCTGTATCTAAAGCTATATATATTAAGAACCTTAAACTAAAAGGAATTAGTTTCTTCTATTCTAATATAGCTAGTAAAGATACTATAAAGCAAATCAGTTATAATATATACTATAAGAATATTAATATCTTTATAGATTATATTAAGAATATTATATAGTATTATAGTAAAGATACTATGAAGCTTAACCTCCAGGCCTATATATATAACACTGCTTTGACCTAGTATACTACTAGTCTTAATAAATAAGAGAAGCGCCTAATTACTAATACTAACTTAGAGCTTAGATAGCTTACTGAATTATTAAAATACTTTAAACCTAGTCTATATACTATAATAACGAAGTTGAGTAGCTTATTCTATATTATAAATAATATCCAAGCTGGAAAATATATCAGTTAATTTATTTAAGAAGTAATTTATTATATCTATACTATATATATAGATAATCCCTTCAATCAATTAATCTATATCTAGGATTATCTTGATCTATATCTTCGTGTGCAACTAAGACATTCTATACAAGATACTATAATTAGTAAGTTTCTTAAAGAGCTTAATAAATAATAGTATAATTAAGAAGTCCTTGTCTGGATTATTAAAGATAAAAATAAATATAATAATATCTCTTATAGAAATCATAACTCCTATAGTTAAGGATATCAAGAATCCTAGAACTATCTAAACCAGAATTATACTAATAACAGACGCGATTTCAGGAATAATTACTATAGAGACAATTTCAACTGAAAGCCCCAGAATTATTAAAACTAGAACCTGAATCAGAGCTGATAGATAAACTAGAATTAGAACTAATAACAGCCTCAATGGCAGCCTCAGTAGAACAGTCAGCCCTAATCCAGACCTTATAACATCTATATTAATCAAACCCCTACCTAACCACCTATAGTAAATACATCTTCTAGTAATCAAGATAATTATCATCTATAGAACCGAAACACCTAGACTTAAGATTAATAGGGAAATCTAGATTATTATTAGTATTAATTCCAGAACTTGATACCCTAGTTATTTTAGAAGAGTAGTCCTTAGAACTAGTATATATACACTATTACTATAAACCCTTCTATACCTATAGAAAAGATATATTATATATATAATAATTATCTATAAGATTCTCAGTATTCCGAAAATCCCTACTAACAAGTACTGAATAAATTATATAATAATTACAACACAGATCCTCCTTATATTAAAGAAAATAATTACAATCAGTCTAGTAAAGAAAATCTATTCTATAAAAACTATAATAAGAGTAATAATAAGTATATTAATAATACTTATATTATTAAGAATAATAATATCTTATTTATATCTATATAATAGTATCCTATCTTATCTTAAGATATTTAGTCTTAGATTATCTAAGACTAATTATTTATTCTATATTATAACTATAATACTCTATATATATTAAAGAATAAGCTCTATAAATACCTTATTTTATATAATAAGTATTCTCCTAATCTTATACCTACAAAGCAAACCATCTCTATTATTAATAATATCATAGAATCTAAGTACTTTGAAGATATTAAAGTTACTTTAGACAAGTAACTACTTTATATATAGTAATCTACTACTACTATAATTAGTCTTAATATAACTAAAAAATATATATTTATCTATCTTAATACTAAATACTTCGCTACTATTATAAATACAGATCTTACTAGATTATTAGGCATAGAAATATACCATACCAAGACACCCCTCAGTATCTCTGGTATTAATTCAAGACATCAAGTAACAGAATATACTATATTTAAGATGTACATCCCAAGACAACTATATAAAGATTACTTAGTATAATTATATAGTCACTTATTATATGCCGCCGTGATTATCAAGGCCTATTTAGTTGAGAACCTCCATCCAAATCTGTTAATAGATATAAATACTATAGAATAAGAAGGAATTATCCTAGATTATAAATAATAGACCATCTCTATTTATAGTTATCAGAATTTTGTCTTTCCTATTTAAACTCAAGTCAAGCCTAATTATATTAATACCCCTATATATATAAAGTATATAGTTACTGTATCTCCTTACTTCTATATTTCAGTATCTATCTATATTAATATAAACCTTACTAATACTGACTATATCTTCTTATCTAAAGATAATACTAATATATCTATTTATACTTATTTAGTTAATATCTCTTTCTTATTTATTAAAGTAGTTAATAAAATATCTACTCTAGTTACTATTAGTTACTATATCTATATTAATATCTTAACTAATAATAATTTTATAACTATATATTATATTAACATCAACATCACTAAATTAGGATATTCTTATACTTATATTAAAGATAATCTCTATACTCTACTATATCTAAAAGATAATTATATATCTAGTAGCTTATACTATTACTATATCTCAGAAGTCTTAGTATATACTACTAATTTATCTTCTGAGAGCAAGAGTATATCTAGAATATCTAAGTATCTATCCCAGCTAATTCATATTCATATTCCTGATATAAAGATTAATATATCTAAACTATCTAATAGAATAACTATCTATAGAGATAATAATACTATCTATTATCTTAAGTCTATTCTTATATCTTATAATATTTAGGCTAATCCTAATAGCTTTAATATTAGTATAGCTAATATTCCTAAAGATAAGTAGATATAGATATCTCTTAAGAAAGATTAGGAAGAATATATACCTAAAGCTTAAGTATATTAAGTTTCTTAAAAGGATTAGAAAATAATAGATATAATATTTAACCCTCTTTATACTACTAGAAAGATATTATATACTAAGATAT